GTAAGACGTGTTTAAGTTCTGGGTAACGGCTTATTGATAAAGTTCTGCAGCCCGAAGGCTGAAAATATACATTGAACATACAGTGGGGTATGCTATAACGAATCTAATTGGTTCTAGAACCTTGTTCGTTATAGCATTCGTTCGTTATAGGATTAATTCGTTCCAGGCCCCCAAATACAACCACTTAACACTGAAAAATATAATATAAAATTGTAAAAATTGTAAAAAAGTGCATAAATAAGCATCTAAACCCCTGAAATAAAGAACAGCATTAATACTTGTAATAAAAAAAACAATAAATTAGTAAAAAAAAAAAAGAAAAAAATTTTTTTTTTTTTCTAAATAATGTTCGTTGTAGGAGTTTCATTCGTTATAGCAATTTCAATTTTATAGGTAAAACCGTTCGTTATAGGAATATTCGTAGTAGGATCCGTTCGTTATAGCATACCCCACTGTAAATGACTTATTACATACATTGGTGTTTCAACAAAAGCCTTCATTAGAGAAAGGTAAAGGAACATACAGTGAACATACAGATAAATGTAGGTGTTGAACAGCAAACACGTAGTGTAGTAATTCCCTCCCAGATGGTGTTAGGAGGGACCTCACGTGGTGTATTAGTTCCCTCATAGATGGTGTTATGATGGACCTGACATGGTGTAGTGGTTCCCTCACAGATGGTGTTGGGAGGGAAATCACATGGTGTAGTAGTTCCCTCACAGATGGTGTTAGGAGGGACCTGATGTGGTGTAGTAGTTCCCTCCCAGATGGGGTTAAGCAGGACCTGACGTGGTGTAGTAGTTCCCTCCCAGATGGTGTTATGAGGGACCCCACGTGGTGTAGTAGTTCCCTCACAGATGGTGTTATGAGGGACCTCACGTGTAGTAATTCCCTCACAGATGGTGTTATGAGGGACCTCACGTGTAGTAATTCCCTCACAGATGGTGTTATGAGGGCCCTCACGTGTAGTAATTCCCTCACAGATGGTGTTATGAGGGACCCCACATGGTGTAGTAATTCCCTCACAGATGGTGTTATGAGGGACCTCACGTGGTGTAGAAATTCCCTCACGCGAGTGAGGTGTATTCCCAGGCCTTCCTATCGTAGACGGATTAACACATCGCTGGTTGTTGTTGGGTCTCACGGGCAGTTATCACTGAGTACCTTTGACCTCACTGTGTGAAGTTTAACTTGGGTACGACTCGGCTGTTACTGTTGAGTTGTTCTCACTGACTTAAGCACTGTTCAACACTGGTTCCATTCCTTTCCTAAATGAAATTGTAACTTCTGGCTAGAACTTGTTGATATTCCGGTGGGGGGGAGGGTTCAGGGGAGGGAGTTGATATTGGCCAACATAACAGTTGACCTGGCTGCTGCCAAAGGAGTGCCAGGTACGTCTTGACCCTTCAGTGGTCAAGGATGTAGTGTGTGTGCTTGTGTGTGTGTAAATATATAATAATAATAATAACAATAATAATAATTAACGGTTTATTGAAAAAGTTCTGCAGCCCGAAGGCTGAAAATATACATTGGACAAAACTGACTTATTACATACAAAGACATGGGGTGGGTGGGTCGTATAACAAAAGCTTTCATTACTGAAAGAAGAAGGAACAATGATTGAACATACAAATTATTATAGTTTACGGTTGATGGCCTGGGCCTGGGCTGGTCATGGAGACACCGGGTGGTGTGGTGTTCACGTGGTGCAGTAACTCGTCCTCGGGTGTTATCTCGTAGTCAGGTGTGAAGCCTACCCACTGCTGTTCCCATGGTGGACTGATTAGCACCTCCTTGTCAGAAGATGGCGGTCAGTTCCCAGGGGTGCTTATCTCACTGGTGGGTCACGGCTCTCACTGGTACTGTATAGTGCTTAATTCACTGGCTTAAACACTGTTCATCACTGTTCAACACTGATCCCACTTCTTTTTTAAATGGAATTGTCAGAAAACACTGGCGTGGCACATCGCCGATTAGTGGCTTGAACTCCTGCAGCAGCTGCACCACATCCTGAGACTGTTGTTGTGAAAGATGGAGTACTTTAGAGCTAGAGTCACACAATATACCTGTACTGGAATTACAGATTTTTATGGGGTCATCCACTTGGGAATTAGTGTCTGGTACCACCTCCTCTCCTGTAACTGAACAAACCACTTCACTCCTACCAAAATACATTTTCAACCTGTTGATATGAGTCAGTCTCTCTAATTTTCTCTTGCCTGGAGTTGCTATGACAGAGTTGAAGTCATTTACTTTCTTAACTACAGTGAATGGACCCTCATATTTAGCTTGAAGGGGATTTCTATACAGGTGTATAAGTGCTAAAACCCTGTCTCCAGGTTTAAATTCTCTAGCTTGACAATGCTCATCATATCGCTTTTTAATTTTCCCCTGAACTTCTGACAGATTTTCACGAGCAATCTCACCTACTCTCTTCAGTTTCTCTTTAAACTTCTGTATATACACTGACAAAGGGACTTTTATCTGATGACTTATCCAACTTTCCTTCAAAACAGTCATAGGACCTCTTACAGCATGACCAAAAATCATTTCAAAGGGACGGAATCCTAGGGAATCTTTGGGACTCTCTCTTATGGCAGACAACATAAGTGGCACTCCTTCATCCCATTCCTTATCAAACTCCATACAGTATTTCCTAAGCATAGATTTAAAAGTCTGGTGGAACCTCTCAAGGGCACCTTGGGTTTGAGGGTGGTATGCAGAAGCTAAGTATTGCTTAATACCGAACTCATTCATCACCTGCTGGAAAAGGAAAGAAGTGAAGTTTGTACCCTGTTCTGACTGTACAACTCTAGGAATGCCATATTGAGTGAAGAAGCTAGTCAGAGCCTTTACTACACTCTTTGCCTTGATGTTTCGCAATGATATAGCCTCTGGGTACCTGGTGGTAGTACACATGATTGTAAACAAATATTGGTGGCCACATCGACTTTTTGGGAGAGGACCTACACAATCAATTATAACCCTGCTGAATGGCTCATCTATCACAGGAATGGGTTTTAGGGGAGCAGGTTTTATGACCTGATTCGGTTTACCAGCCATCTGACATTCATGGCAAGTTCTACAGTATCTGGCAACATTCCAGGCCAGCAAAAATGCGACAAAATTTTCTTGCATGTTTTCCCAACTCCTAAATGTTCTCCCAAAAAGTCGTGTGCTAACTTCAAGATTTCTCCCCTGTGACATCTGGGAATCACAACCTGATGCACAACATTCCACTCTTTGGGGCGCCGGTGGGTAGAGCGGTACCGCTCTTGCCTCGCAAGCGAGATGTCACGGGTTCGATTCCCAGACCGGTGGAAAGTTGTTCAGACACACTTCCCAGCCTCCCATGGTCCCTGTTCACCTAGCAGCAAAGTAGGTACCTGCTGTAAATCGAAAGTTGCGAATTCGTATTAAGGGACAAGTTGTTGGAGCTTCCAATAACTTGCTTAGACATAAACCATTGACTCTTCAGGCTTCTATGCCCTTAACTCATGAGACAAAGGCAAGCATGAACTTGGCATGCTTCCCTATTGGGCACTGTAAATGCTTGTGCGCTTCACCTTACACAAGGATGTAGGGGGTGCCCAATAAAAAAAAAAAAGGCATTCCACTCATCAGCAGGATCAGATACAGACCTGAACTTCCTCATAAGTAACCCTGAATCCATGTACCAACAAACAGGCAAGCGAGCCGCTTCTTCCATATCCACAGCCTTCCTACATAGTTCAGCTAATTCGCAGTCACTCTGCTGATCATCTATCAATTTTTCCCTAGGGACAGGTACTTTCTGAATGGTAATCTTGTCACCAGAAGACAGATCAGCTGCAGATTTGGGGGAATGAATGTTAACTGAATCTTTAGCTTCACTCACATCTCTCCCACCAATGTCACTATCAAATGAATCATCCTGAGTGCCAAACAGATTCTCAATATCTAAATCATTTACATCATTGCCAAGTGCACTACTATCAGCAATACAAGGCTCAGGGTCAACTGAAGGTGCGGTCTGTACCTTATGCCGAAGAGTCTGGCTCCTTGTAACTGCGCATAAAGGAAATAAACCTGGGTATTCTTCAATTAAACCAGTATTATTCTCTACTGTAGGAGTCGAAGATACCACAGGATCTGGCACCACGCTGGCTCCTGCAATATCATTACCCAGCAAAAAAGTAACCCCTGTCACAGGAAGAGAATCTTGAATACCAATAGTCACCCAACCAGTCACAAGTTGAGTTCTCAAATACACTCTACACAAAGGGACAGTGATCACTCCACCAACACCCTTAAGCACCAAATGCCCTCCAGTATAGGAATCTTCAACGTAGGGAACAGATCCTTTCAAAAGAACACTGTGAGAAGCACCTGTGTCACGCAAAATCTTCGCAAGGTACAGATCACCTGATTTTTCAACTGCAACTGAACCATCAAACATGAAAGGTTCAAAAGAATCCTCCTTTGGGCAATTACTAACTAAAGTTTTGTCAAACTTCTCCAGAGGTCAGAATGAGAGCACTGGCTCTTCCTTCTTTGCTTTCAATTTAGGGCAATTCGCAATCACATGACCTGGTTTCTTACAGTAAAAACAGACAAATGCTTTAGTCTTGGCATATGTCTTGGAAAGCTCATCTGAGTTTCTACGAAAATTTATTCTACTAGAAGAAGCAGTTCCACTATCCTGCCTACCACCCATTTCCTTGGTTACAAAACCCTTTCCATCTGAATGATTTTGAGATATAACAGGATACATTTTGTGAGTAAGGGCATAGCTATCAGCTAATGCAGCAGCTTTATGAACATAAATAATATCTCCCTCCTAAGTACAATTGTATACATATCTCTCGGAGTGGCTCTTTTGAACTGTTCTAAAATCACCAACTGAACAAGTTCCTCAAAAGTTTCTACCTTGCTAGACTTTATCCACCTTCCACACATTTTATTCAATGAATAAACAAATTCTATATATGACTGTGCATCAGTCTTTCTCATAGTCCTAA